AAAAACACCCAGTAATGCCAGATTAAGCATCGGCTCCCTCCGCACACGAGTGAGAGCAGCGCAGATGCCAGATACATCGTGATGACGTCCGTCATTCCTGGGATGTTTATAAGTGATGTCTTTGGTTCGCTTGGCATCAGTTACCGGGGAGGATCGTAGAAACCCACGTAACAAACCATAAATCCCTGAACTGTAAAAGTGCAAGTTGCGACTGGCGTTGTAAACCTGCTCAGACAAAAAGTGGTAAATTTTGCAAGTTTTGCTTATCTGTACATGTGCAGAGTGTGTGTGCATTGCATGGCACGCCATATAGTCCCGAGCCAGTCTCGCACGCAGCTGCTCCTCAAGGTCGTCTAAGGAGCTTTCGAACTCCGGGCTGATATCTTGTCTACACTGTGGGCAGTTTCCGCCACAAGTAGTGTGCCAATTCCGTTGTGACAGATGCTGCAACCTAACCGTTGGAATCAAACGGTTTAGGATGTGAAACGCGATCACTGCCGCTGCTACTGATCTGTGTCGACCTCGACTGCACTCAAAGAGCAGTATGGCCTTCCTACTCGTACTCACCTGAACCAAGGCGTTCATCACAGCATCCATGAAAGGCTTATAGGTGATGGATCTCGCAAGAATGGCCGGGTTCTTACCAACATGGCCTTGCAAAGACCTATCTCGACCAGGATCTTTAAAATCATGTAGGAGGCATGCTACTGTCTCCCATCCCTCCCGGAACTCCGGGACCGTGCTGTTGAACGCCCCACAAAGGCTTCCACGGCTTACGATTACAACCTCTTGCAATCTGCATGCACCGCTTGCGGACTTGGCTTTCGGAGGGGACTTTGGAGCATCAATACCCGACAACACCGGGATAGAAGGAGCCCTCGAAGGTCTTGCTGGTGGTGTCGGCGGCCGCTTGGGGATAGGCATAGCCTTAAAAGGAGCCGGAGCCTTTACGCCAGAACCAATCGCCGAAGGAGTAGCATCATTACCACCAGGCATTGGAGCAATTGCATCAGTTCCGGTTGCACCTGACCTCGAAGAAGCTCTATCTCTACGGGGAGGCGGGGGATATGGGGGTTGCTTCGGAATCATTTTCGGCGTCGGGGTGCTGGCGATACCCGTAGCACTGGTCTTGGCTTTAACCAGTCGTTGTACCTGCTCTGCAAATGATTCACCTTCCAGTCTTCTTCCGGAAGGTTTCCCCGCTGGTTTGTAAGCTGGCCTCCCCGCTGGCTTGTAAACTGGCGGCATGATGCGTGGGTGAAACGGGTGAGACACAAATTTTGTCTGTGCAGAGAATTTGTTGGTGCTTCTTTTTGCTGTGCTCGCCCTTTTGTTAGCGCTGCTTATGCATACAGAAGAAGAACTCCTACAGTCTCTATCCCCAAACCTGCAAATGTGATTTATAGACATTGGGGCTTCAGCAGACAAGTGAACATATTGATGAATGGTCACAGGAAAGCTCGCATGGTGTGAACACGCAACGTGTTTACCACTCTTTCTTTGCATAGGGCTGTAGTGGTAGTTGCAAAGAGACAGATGAATCGGCTCTGCACTGGATCCCTGCGGCGGGTCGATGCATACAACAGCCTGCTGAGTAACGACCTGAATCGATCTATTCAGGAATGAAGCAACCCCACAGAGCGCAATGCAATTACCCCAGGCATTCTTTTTGTCAAGTTTACATATCTCGGTCCACTCATCACTGTTTTTTGCGACATTGGCTTTCATGTGCGTGATAGTGCGTCTTTTAAGTTTGTACCACTTCATATTGGTGTATCTCGCAATAGATCTCCAAAGACAGTTACCATCACCCTTGACTTGCAAGTGAAAGGCTTTGAATCCCTCTTCAGGGAACCATGCTTTAGCAAGAACTCCAAAATGCGACTCGAATGGGTCTTTTCTTTTAGATTTGCATTTCTTGGATTTCTTTCTCTTGAAGTCATGGAGGGGAGTGCAGATCCAACTAACGTCGTCCGAATTTCCAAGGTGACACACCCCTAAAAGGCCAACAAGAACCAACCCCACAAGAAGCATTCTACCAAAAGCACATCGGAGGGGTGAGGCCAGAGTTGCCTGTGGTCGCCGAAGTTGTCGATCTCTTATCGTTTCCTGAGAGTACAGAGCGATAATCGCATCGCACCAGAGGAATACAAGGCATAACCAAGCCTGGAGTTTCAGGGGAATCATATCGAAACCCGTAATAAATTGGCAAGGAAAGCTAGCAACCAAAACCTCATCCCAACGTAAGGTTTCAACGCATCGCCTTAGGGAAGAGTCCTTACCTAGGGGCAAAGGGTCATCTCCCTCATTGACATCATCATGCAGCGCAGGCGCGCATGTGCCACCGATGGGCACGGCAGAATTTTTGCTTGATTTGTTGCTTGAATTGCTGATGCAGTGTGTGCGGAAATTTTTGTTTTGATTTTGATACGTCCGCAAGTGCAGGGGGTCCATCGTGGACCAATTAATGTACGCATTTTGCTGACCTTCGATGAAAGGCATTGCGCGGTCTACATCGCGCGTAATCGCACGGAAGTGTGACCTGTCCATGACACCCAATCCAGCCCGCACCAGAAACCAACGATTAGCATCAGAGCAAGATGCGAGAGATTACGGCCGTGTTCGTAGTCTGCTGCCATGGTCCTCAAACTAGCGCGCTAGAAAGAAGACTCTACAACAACAGCTATCAGCTCAAGCCTCGAGAAGGCCAGGCCGCACTTGAGCCGAATCGGGTTTGGGGGCCCATTATACTATAATTATGATAATCCTGCGCTTCGAATTCAGAGTTTGAGGCTTCGGGTTTCGGGCATTAAGGGCTCTTTGAAACGTGTGTCTTGGGCTGGCTGTGGGTTGAGGGCTTGGGGTTTAGGGTTCAGGGTTCAAGGTCCAGGGGTTGAAAGCTTTTGGCTTAGGGTTCAGGGTTTAGGGCTTGGGGTTTAAGACTTACAGTAAACCCCATAAAGTTGGAAACCGGATTAAGGCCCAAATAGTGCTGGGATTCCCTATACATTACTCTTAAGTACTGAGGCTATTGGGCTTCCAACTTTTGGGCTTCTGCTGTATGGTTCTAGGCTTCGGGCATCGGATTCAAGCTGCCAGGCTTAGAGTTGAGGGTTTAGGGTTCAGGGTTTAGGGTTTCGGGTTTAGGGTTTAGGGTTTAGGGTTTAGGGTTTAGGGTTCAGGGTTTAGGGTTCAGGGTTTAACGATAATTTTGGGGTTCGGGGCATAGGGGTTTGGGGTTTAGGGAAACCCTGAACCCTAAGGTCCCAAACCCTGTGGGGTCATGTCTTGCGGCTCTGACCTTCCAGTTCCCAAGCTTTGGGTTTACTTCGAGGGTCGGGCACGAAGTTATGTCGGGGCCTTAACTGGAATAGGGCTCCTTTAAAGGGTTCCTTAAAGGGCTCTTTAAGGGATCTGGAGCAGGGTTCTCTAACGTAGGGGCCTCAATCATTAGCATTGGGTTTTGGGGCCCATTATACTATCAACATAGTAAGGAACCCCCAAAATAGTATAGGGTGGGTATTTAAGCCTCCGTATTATGGCGATAAGTGACCAAGGTTCTCTAACGGAAGAGGTTTGGGGTTTAGGCGGGGGGGATTAGGGGGCTTCCCTCGTCGGGTTAAAGCAATAGACTAAGTGTAGTTGATCTACGTTTGACCCTAACTAAAGTAATTCATCCTACCTACTGGGTCTTGTGCTCCTCTTAGCAAGTTCTACCTGCACGATGCACTGTGTAATTCTTGGGTTGTATTTTTCTGGGTCAAGGTTCAGGCACGGATTTGGGCGTTACGCGTGTCTTTAAGCCTTACAGAGCTCAAGGATATGGCGTAGGGTCTTGAGTCTTGGATCTCATTTCACCCGGCGCGCGATTGCCGTCTGAGTGGGTAAACGATGAAAAGAATTAGGCTGCATCGGCGGTTCCCAGAAGTCCCCTTTTGGGCGCGTGCTAGAAGCTTCAAGCCACAGTTGAATAGGAGACGATGGTACAGCGCACTGTATAACTGCTGGGAAATGCTGAGATTTCCAGCTCGTGAGTTCGTATTCCGCGCTAAGCACGGATTCTGGAATTTACGATTTAAGGGTCCATGGTTCGAGAGCTTCAGAATTTGCGGTTCAAGGGTCTTCGTAAGGTTTGCAGGGCGCTTCCTGGGGCTTCTGGTCTAACTGACTCGGCACTCTGCGGGGGCGGGCGCGGGCGAAAACGCCTCAGGTGTTTCGGTGTTGCTTTGACACTCTCGCCTGCCAGTGCGCCGAGCTAGTGTTCAGGATTGAAGTTCAGGAGGGTCTACAGTAGAATCTCGGATTTAGTCGTGCTGTTTATCTGAGGTCGACTTGCACTCAAAAATCCAGTGAGGCCGTTGAAAGACAGCGCGGTTGAACCTCTCAACCTGGGTTGGATTTCAACATCAAGGGCTTGGGCTGACGGCTCCTATCCCCAGCCCTAAACCTTACAGTCGTACGAAGCGCGAGACCCTACACTCTGACTGCTGACACCTGGAAAAACACATGAACATGTAAGCCCGAAGCCCCATCATAGTAAACCATGACACTTCTACTAAGCCTCAGAACCCCTAAACGCTCCCGCAAGCCCTCAACCCCACCACTCACCTGAACCCGATGCAACCTAAACTTGCGGAGCTCCCAAACCCTAAACCCGGCTTAAACTTTAAGGTCTGGAGTTTAGAGTTTGGAGTTTAGGGTTTTTTAGTATAAGGTTTCGGGTGGCCGCATCTCCATCAACCGTACCTCTGCTAGGACAACCAACCACCTGCCGACTCCCTGAACCCTTCAGTGGTTTAAGGGCTCCTTTAAGTATACTATACCTGGACCCTAAGGAACCTACCTTTTTAGGGCCCCCTAATACGATTTCTTTATATAAGTCCCTAAAACGGTAGGTTATTTGGGGTTAAGGTAAAGGTTCTACACGGACAATCGCTCCCGTAAGGGGTACTGTAAGGGCTTTGTAGAAGGGTACTATATAAGAGTACTAGAGCCTGGCCTCACACTTTTGCTCCGTCTTCCACCTGGCCGTCAAGAGGGGCTTGGCATGTCAACCGCAAGCTAAACCCCCAAAAATACAACCTTCAAACTTACAGCCCCAAAGCACCGGAATACTTGCTAAATAGCAATATCCCCTCACTTGGAGTCCCTATGTCGCCTATATCACTACACTGTGACTTTTACGGATCCCAGCTTTTTCCAAAATCCCAGTAGCGCTGAACCTCCGGGGCCTGCTTAGAGGCTCAGGGGACTTCGTGCGTAGGGTCCTCCTACGACCTTAATTCGAGCGCGAAGTAGATATTGCTATAGTGGACCTTAACCTACCAAACCCTACTTTTTTGTAGGGTCCCTATGAATTCCATGTTAGGATTCATCATTAGAACCTGCAAAGAAGTAGGGTTTGGTAGGCTAAGGGAATGGAATGGAAGTGGCTAGCAGCAGTAGCTGCAGCCGCCCAAGCTCTTCCCCCATATCGCAGGGCGGCTGCGAAAACGTCATGGCCGCCCTCCGTGGAGGGTTCGAGGGGGAACAAGCATAATGTGGGCAAGATGCTGGGAGAGATGGGGGAGGGTGGGAGGGAGGGGCGGAGAGAAACCGAAGTGGGGAGGAGGAGGCCAGAAGACGAGGCAAGTATGAGGGGGGAGCGACATGGCAGGTGATAGCCCAAAGCAAATTCTTGAAGACCCCGCAAGAAGTCGGATCTCTTGCTCTAGGCACAATAAGGCGCCGCCAAATCTCCGAGCATAGTAAACAAAATCTTCGTCTCCAGGAAAGCCACGGCACAAAAGGCGTGTGGCCATGTGCTTCCGATCCGGTCTTCTGCCTTCCGTAGCCAAGCCCGTTCCTCCGTGTTTTTGACCTTGGGCTTCGTCAATGTCCTCGCCAAGCCCATGTGCCTCCATCGCATGATCAACCTCTTGGCAGGAAACCACGCCGGTCTGTGGGCTCTTCGCCAGAACTTCCCGGAGAAGTTATATACCCTTAATATAGCTATTATATACCCATTCCATAGCCCATTATAGGGTAGGGGTCCCCATTAAGGGTCCCTCCTTGTCGCCTTTGAGCTTACTTCCAGTCCCAAATTCTTCAGCCGGTCAGCCGGGTGGCGCTCAGCCCGCCCTGTCCTCACAAACTCTGCAGCGGACCCACCAGCATCCACCTTCCGCTTCGGAACCCGCAAACGGCGTGTATACCTTCGTCTGCTGCCAGAGGCACGGCAGAGACATTATGCGGAGGTAGCGCATATCACCAACGGAGAGCTCCTTTGTACGACGACACAGCTTCTTCCAGATATTGCTACACACAGTTACCGTATGCATAACCCTGCTTGCTATGTCCCTACTAAGGGCGCATGATGTTTTTGCCGTTATGACCCGTTTCCTGTCGCAGATTAGGAAGCCCGCTGGCGGACAAGGGTTTTGGGTTCAGGGCGTACGCCTTCAACTCTAAACCCTAAACCCTCTTGTGCCCTGACTTGCAATGGATTGTCTGCCTGCCGATGCCGGAACCCCGAGTCGACAGCCCTAACTCCTAAGCTTACGTGCTGGTGATCCGGGCCTGTTTGGGGTTTGGGGTTGCACCTCAGCTGTACTTAAGGATCATGGGACTTAGTAACTAGGGTTAGAATGAAGGTAACTATACTTATAACTCCAATTAGGGTGCTTATAACCTTACTTACTAAGTCCCATGATCCTCCAAGTAGGGTTCAGGGCTTCGCGCTTTGATGGTGTGGGGGCGACCGAAGTTCGCGCTTTAGAAGTTCTAGGGCTTCAGGTTCAGAGTCGCAAGAACTGACCTAAACCCTAAAACCTAAACCTTAGGGTTTAGGGTTTAAGGAGAAACTCGAAGACTTCTAACCGTCCAACCACGAATGAAGACCACAAACAAGAACCCCAAAAAGCCACCAAGGCAAAGTTCCACACCTGCAAGCCGTCGAGACTCTCAACTTTCCCAAAACCCCAACCCCCTTCAAAACCCTGTACAAGTCCACCAAAACGAAACAATGAGCTTACAACACGACAAAAACACCACAAGCACACTTACACTGCAACCTAAACCCTCAAAGAAGCAGAGAGCCGTGGAAAGCCGATAAATCCAGAAGATGCAGGCACGCGGCCTTCGCCCGCTCACGGATTATCAGCCTCTTCAGCTCCGCAGGCACACCCAGACCTCAGAGGTTTAGGGTCGCGAGTTCACGGTGTGAGGGTTACGGTTTAGGCCTCCCTGGTTCTGTGATAAGATCAGAAGAAGGGGCAACCAAAAAAAACGGTCAGAAAACTCTATACGCCTTGAAGACAGCGTGGGTAAACTAGGTGGAACCCTGTTGTAACTCTCCAAAACCCTCATGATGCCCTTGTGAAAGTCCCCCTCGCTCCCACTGCGGGCCAAAACACCCCCAAACCCGAACCCCCAGCATCAACCCCAAAAAATCCAAACCCTAAACAGCCCTAAGCCCAAACTCCAGATACCCGAAGCTACCAAGGCTCTGTACAGCGTCGTCGCGACGAGCACCAGCAGGGTGCCCAGCACGAAAAGAAGGTCGGGCTCGAACTCCTGACAGGGTGCGCGCTTTATGAGTAGCATAGCGTTCGGGTCTTACACTACACTACACCTAAACGATGCCGTGGTCAGGAGCCCAACAGACCTTGTTGGGTCTGTTAGTGAAGGTGCCTTGAAGGTGAGACAACATACTGGGGTGCTTCAAGACTGGTATCAGGGTCTGGGCGTTTGAGACTTAGTTGGGATTCAGGAGTCTTGGGCTTGAGGCATGAAGGGTTCTAAGGCGCTGCGTTTGGATGTTCGCTACATTTAAAATCTTTAGCTTCCGGAGTTTGCGTTTGCAAAGCACACGTACACATCGGCCGATCCGCTTCGGCAAGGGTGGTGTATTTTGGCGATTCTCCGTTTTGGGGCCCATGGTTCATGGCCTCCTACAGATCCCCTATAGTAACCCCTACCCAGACCCCCGAGAGGATCCAAAAAGTACATCCCTTATTGGGGGTTCCTATAAAGTACCCTCAGTAGTATAGGGCTCCAAATTAGGGGATCTACTTTCTAGATGCGGGGGTCTGGGTATAGATCCCCTTAAAGGTCCCTTAAAGTAACCCCTCGGAGAGTTGGAGTCGGGACTTTGGGTGCGGCGCGATTTCCAACTTCGAGATGCCCGAGGAGCCCTTGCCGCCACAACCGAGCGGCTTGTAATACAGGGTCCTTAATAATTAGAATAGGGTTCCTTTAAAGGGCTCCTTTAAGGAATACTACAAGGGTACTATAGAGGTACTATTTAATAGTTTAATAGGGGCCATTTGTGATTAGGATAGGGTTTTGGGGGCCCCTTATACTATAATCAAAATAAAGAACCCCAAAACAGTATAGGCAATTGTTAGGGCCACTATAGTAAGTTCCAGGAAGGGTTCTATTGGCGTCCTTTTCAGGCTTTATCACACAGCACTGCAAGACTTGCCTGAGCCCCTAAATCCAAAACCGGTCTGAGCGCACATCATCCAAGGTAAAACCGTGTAGAGCAGGTCCACCGCTCAAAATGCTGCTTAGGGTGTGCAGGGTGTTCTTTCCTTTACCGTTTTGTGGATCAAGGTTTAAGGTCTCGAAATTTTGAGGTTTAGCGTATTCAGGGTTTAAATGTTTGGGGATATTTGGGGCGAAGGGTTTTAAGTTCTGGGGGCATGGACCTGGGTAGTGTCTGCTTGTCGTCCGCCCATTAAACGTTCATAATGCTTTGATGTTGACGGTACCCGTTTTCGTAACCTTAAGTTATAGTAAGGACACCCCAAATGCACAAAGGGCGTACGGATACTACTGGGGACCTCGACCATGGGCAGGTTTAGGGATGTAGGTGTTGCTGTACCGCCAACCTTAACCCACTAAGTCCTAAATCCTGAAGTCTAAACTTACACGCCCTGTGGATGCTTCAGGCTCCTGCAGCAGCGCTGCAGACATCAAGCAGCTGATCACCTGGTCTTCGGCCCGGACCCCCTGTACACCGTCAACGGAGTTTAGGGTTTTGGAGCTGACAGGGTTTAGGAGTTTAGGGCGGTTTAGGGTTTAGGCTTCAGGGTTTAGGGCATCTACCCCTTGCATTGGGGCTCACGGCTGCTTCTGTCAGCTGAGAGCGCGGCGATGGACATCGCGTTGCCGAAGCACCTGATGCTGCAGACGGGAAGCCTGCTCCTCGAAGAGACCTAAACCATAAACTCTAAAAGCCATAAACCCTCAACCCCTAACACCTGAATCCAAAACCCTAAACAGGATCCCTCGTGCAAGACCCTCGCTGGGTCTACGTGTGATCTTAACAGACGACCCTCACTTCGAAAGGGAAGGGTCTTGGGTTGCCGTCTTAGGGTTGAGGGTTAGGGTTTGTATGCAATGTGGGAGTTTCCGAAAATAGGGGACCCTAACAAAGTACCTTAAAATATAGGATCCTTATTATAAGGACCCCAAAATAAGGTACCCCTGATTTTCGGAAACTCCCATGTCGGAGACTTGGACTCCACATACACGAAACAGGAAAAAGGCAACAGACGAACGATCCGGGGGTCGGAACAGTGAAAACCATAAACCCTAAACCTTAGTAACCCTCAACCCTGAACCTTACTGAACCCTACACCCTAAACCCTACTGAACCTTAAACCCTAAATCCTAAATACCCTAAATCCTAAATCCTGAACCCAAAACCCGAACCCCTAAACCCTACTGAACCCTGAACCCTAACCCTCGAAGTTCGTGAAGGGGCGCCAAGCCCAGAGCTCGGGAAACCGAGCTATGTCCCCATAGCTAGTGTACTAAATACATACACTCGAATATATAAGAATACATTACAATATGCTGCCGCAGTATATTACAAGTTGACAATATACTATAGTATATTGCAATATACTGTAATACAGTACCATGCACAGTAATATACCAGACGATATTCTGATGTCCTACAGCATACTCTAGTGCACTAGAATAGACTCTAATGAACAGAACATACACTATAATACATTATGACATACCAGAACAGCACACAGACAAGTGGAGTCTGCGGGAGATTCAGGGCGGCAAGGGCTCCAGGGCTCGGGGTTTGGGGTTTGGGGTTTGGGGCTTCGGGGTTTAGGGTGTGAGGTTTAGGGTTTTAGGGTTCGGGGTTTAGGGTTTAGGGCTTAGAGGTTTAGGGTTTGGGGTTTGTGGTTTAGTTCAGGGCTTAGGATTTTATATGTTTAGGGTTTTGGGGTTTGGGATTTCGATATTTTAGCACCGAAAACCGCAGCATCCCAGCTCCTGTTTCCAGGGCCTGGAGCATGAGGCGTAAACCCCCAACAGCCCTCCAAAGCCCCGAGCCCTAAAATCCTTATCATCCGGAACGCTTAACCCCCCCCCCCACCCCCCCCCCGCCATCCTCGAAAATCAAAACAAAAGTGCACAGCTAAAAAATCCTGAACGACCCCTGAGAAAGCCAGGGCGCTTGAGGATGTTGTCAGCATACTTGAGCACCGCAGCCACCACGAGGCCGCCGACCGCCTTGCAGATATCGGGGTTTAGGGTTCGGGGTTTAAAATAAATTCAGTTAGCATAACGGGGATATATACGGGTTCGTTTAAGGGATCGATAAGGATTCCTATAAGGGTATAGGGTTTAAAGGTTTAAGTTAGCATAATAAGGAAACCATAGTATTCACTCTAGACCCCTACTATGGCTACTTAAATTAAACTCCTTAGCAAGAACCCAGTTCTTTGAGATTCAGAGTTCAAGCCTTCGGCGAAGGACTCGGATGTGGGGTTCAAGGCTTCGGAATCTGTTGGGTTCAGGCTTTGGGGTTTTGTTGGCTTTTGGGCTTTGGGGTTGAGAGTTTGGGGCGTGGGGTCTTCAACAGTGAGTCTATAGCATTATATTATGGCGTGGCAAGGCTTTGCTTGACTTTTGAAACTGTGGACTTCGGGTTCAGGATTTACGGTTTACTGCTTGGAACATGGCCTTCACGGGTTTGAGGATTTTGGGTTCGCTGAACCAGAGCAGCATCAAAAAACACTCAGAACAGGGCAGTGGTCGACTCCGTTGAAGAAGGCCTAGTTCCCAAAGCTCCGCATCCTGACCCTCAACGGGCCTAACCCTAAATCCCAAACGCTACATAGGCAAGAGCCCTAACCCTTGGCCTGCAGCGCAATCACGGCCCAGACCAGCGAGGAGTAGCCTGCCGGCTGGTCGTCGCGGGAATTAGCCCAGCTATTAAAGGGGAAGACAACGAAAACCCTAAACCCTGACCGGCTCAGAGTGGTTGGGCTTTTTAGGAACCGAGGGCCAGTGGCACTACTCTTCTCAGATCCTTCGACATGGGTGACCTCGGTAGTTGAAATTAGAATCGGGTCTGGGGCTTCATGATGGTATGTATATATGGGAGTTTCCGAAAATAGGGGACCCCAATATAGTACCCTAAATAGTAGGATTCTTATTATAAGGACCCCCAAAGTAAGGTACCCCTAATTTTCGGAAACTCTGAACCCTAAACCCTTTATAGAACCCTTATAGACCCCTTAAAGGAACCCTTAAGGGATCCCATATATTCAGGAGCCCTAGGGAGCAGGATTGGCAACTGCTCAGGCTTCTATGCTCGACGCAGTAGACCTCGGAGAGCCTTGGGTGCTCGGACGCTCTATCAGTCTTGAAGCTGATGGCAAACAAATGTACAGGATTTAATGTCTAGGGTTTAGGAAGTAGGTCGGAATAATGAGTCTAGAGAAATATCCAAGATGCCTCTGTTATATACCCCAACAGCTTTTGTTATGAGCACGGCACGGTCGTGGGCATAGGGTTTCGGTTTCGGCGTTTAGGAGTATGGCTAGAAGCACTCTGATAAGCATACACCACATCTTCATTCCCCTGAGCCTTTAGTTTCAGCAAGCCCGAAATCCCCAAGGAACCCAGAAAAGAGCCCTAGCCCCCCCCCCCCCCCGCCCCCTGAACGTTGCCCCTCTAAACCCGAAGCCCTGGATCATAAACCGCGCTCCGGAAGCTTTCATCCCGTCAACCCCAAACTAGAAATATCAGACCCTAAGACACAAAAGCCCAAAACCCAACATGCGAGCTCGGGGTTCAGCCCCTAAAGGCTGTGGATGATGAAGGCATGGGGGATGAACGGGCGGATTCATCCGTGTCCTCGCGGCTCTAAGATGTCGGGCTCAAAAAAGTTCACCGCGCGAGCTAGTGGCAAGGGCTGGGGGCTTACGAGTTGAAAGAGAGCTACGCCCTACTTGGAGGCCCAGGGGACATAGTAAGTCGGTTTTAAGTAGGGTTATAATTGGGGTAACTCCATTTAGGGGCCCTATAACTCTACTTCTAACCTACTTACTAAGTCCCCTAGGCCTCTAAGTACTGTCCTGGTTCTTAGTAGGGAATGGGGGAAGGGTTTATGGGGACTATTCTTGGGGATTATATAAGGGCTACTATAGGGATCCGTCCCTCCATTTCCCTACTAAGCACCAGGGAGCCTATGCTCTATGCCCAACACCCCAACATGTGCAAAGCCCTCTGGCCCAAAAAAGCCTCGGAACCCTCTAAACCCTAAACTCAAAGCCTTACGATGACGCAACCCTCACGAAACCCCATGAAGATGCCCCTCCCGAAAAAAAACGAAAGAAGATAGATCTCCTCAAACAAACCCTACCGTGGAACCCTAAACACCAAAAGGCCTAAACGCAAGAAACACCCCACGAAAAAATCCAGAACCCAAGCTCTAAGCCACCAAAGCCTTAAACCCCAAAGCTCAAGAGCCCATATACAAGTGCACTACAAGAACATTGTGAACACAATCCAGGACTCCGAAAACGAACCCTTGAAGAGACCCTGAAAGGAACCAGCAGCCCCTAAAGGACAGGAATCCGTCAAGGAACCCTTTGAAGGAAACGTAGAAACGACAAAAACATACGGGCGCTCGTACGTGCGCCTTGCAGGAAACCATCTTGCCGAATCTGGTTGCCATCCTGCAACAAAACAGGAAGGCTGACCTAGGGGACATGTAAAGAATCACCATACGGGTGCTTGAGGGTCTTATTGAGGCTTCATGAGGTGTTTTAGGGTAATAGTATGATATACCCCAAGACACTATTCAAACGAAGGCCGCCGGGGTTTATGACGTATAGAAGTCGTCAGTTTTTCTTGGGGGGCTTGTATGGCCTTGTCTGGTTCTGCAGAGGGTCCCGAGGATTTCCGAAAAATTGGGTTCAGGATTGAAAACTTTGACATTAAGATTTAAGGCTTCAGGATCCATTTGGTTGGCGTGTGGTGGGGTGGGCAAAGTTCGAATACGCGAACCACAGGGCCCCGCAGACATCCTCATCACCACCACCATCATCCTTATGTTTCCACCACCACCGTCATTGCCACCATCGTCAGCTCAGAACCAGCACTAGTTGCCGTAAGCATCGTCACCTCAGTCATCGTCCTCGTCCTCAGACGCAGAATCGTCCCCATGCCATGATTTGTCGTGTTCCTTCTACCTGCCATTATTGATGTATACTCTGACCTCTTCCTGTCGCACCTTGACTGATGCCAAGCCCGACCCCAGGTACTCAAGCCTGCGTTGTCAAATCGAAACTTTGAATTCCGCTTGAGCTCCAGATCATACGGAGATGCTAATTGGAATAGTCGATCTGAGTATGTTAAAGGATAACAAGTATACAGGGACTACACTGGGAATGTCTTGCTTCAAAACATGCAGGGAACCCGAGTCGGGAACCCGAGTCGGTTTGGGATATCTTTCAGCAAGCGTCAAAGGGCTATTCATCTTTGCTGCTGAAGGCCATGGCAGCTACTGCCGCCTAAAACCTACACTTCACCAAACACGGAACCCGAAGCATCAAAACCCAAAACCCTAAAGGGCTAAACCCCAAAGCCCCTACACTCCTAAACCTCGTGAACCCTGACAAGGCTCAAGCTCACAGCCTCGTGGCCCATCGCACAGCACAGCATCGCATAGTGCAGTAGAGCATAGCGCGGGCTTTAAACCTAAACCCTAAACCCTAATAGTATAGGACAGCTGCAGCTTTAGGGCTGGCCCACGCTGGGCCCGTGGTGGCCTAGAAAGCATGAGGATTTTCAGGGTTCGGGACTGTTGCCCCAGGGGGCTCTGGGGTACGGGTATCGGATTGAGGGATCCGGGCTTCGCCGTTTGGAGGGTTTTGGGTTTATTAGGCTTGATGGTCTGCTGTGAGCTTGGAGCTTTTGCGGTGCCGGATGCAAGAGCAGGCCTGCATGTAGCAGCCGATGTAGGCCAGTATTCCACCGAAGAAGGCTAGCTGGATATTCCTGCAGGCAAGTGCAATAGCACAGGGACGGGTAATGTAGGAGGCCCAACTGTGGATTCGACTCTTTCCTTCATGTTTGCTCTATGCACGGAGCGCTATACCGCCAAGCCGTACGTCGAAGTGCCCCTCGCAACCGATCACGACCAGCAGCACTGCCCCGCTCTGCACTGAGGCCTGAACCCCTAAAGGACTTGGTTTGGGTGGTTTGCCCTACGAAGAATAAAATGGAGAAAAAAAGAAAAGCTAACTTCAGGTAGGATTTCGCAGGTCGTCGCCATTGTCGCCTACACGCTATTTCGCCGCAAAACCCTCCACCCTAAACTCTCAACCCTAATCTCTATGAGGCCCAGAACCCACGCCTCATCCAAATGGAAGAATCCGTCTGCTTCAGAATCTTCTCCAAGTACACCCCGGCCAACCTGACGCCCAGGTTTGGGGTCAAGGCTTTGTTCTTTGAACTTTGGGGTTCAGGGTTCAGGGTTTAGGATCTAGGGCCTATGACAGGGGCTTAGGGTTTAGAGTTCGGAGTGTAGGGCTCAAAACCATATTTACATATATATATATATATATATACATATATAAACACATTAAGCACATTGATGAGTTGACTCCACTTTTTCTGTAAGTCCGTAGTTCATCACCTTGCGGGCTCAGAACCCGGCTCTCGAAAACTTACTCAGCAGATCCTGGCCGTCAGCAAACTCCCGAACCCCGAATCCGGCATCCTTCAACGCAGGTATCCCACACACAATAGAGAACCTTAAGTATCTCACACATAATAGAGAATCTTAAGTATCCCGCACATAATAGAGAACCCTAACTATCAGAACAGAGGTTTGTGGCAAATCATACTCCATGTATGTATGCATGCATTTATGTATGTAGGTAGGTATGTAGGTATGTAGGTATGTAATTCGTTAATTCATTCAAGAACACTACGGAACCCTATACCATTTCGAACGGATGTTTATGACAAAGTCCTATTCATTTGGGCGAAGAAGCAATGCAGGGTGGATGTTTAACCCCTTCTTCTCCCTCTGCAGAAGTCCCCACATCTGCAATGCCAGGTCGGTGGAGGGGAGTGAGCTGCAGGAGGATACTCAGTGCATGTTCGGGCTCAGCCCCACTGCATACTCCTCCGTGGCTCGACTCGAAGCTGCCAAACCCTTGGACCCTACTTAGAGGGGCAGGCGACTTAGTAAGTAGGTTATAAGTAGGGTTATAATTGGGGTAACTCCATTTAGGGTACTTATAACTCTACTTATAACCTACTTACTAAGTCCCCTGCCCCTCCAAGTAGACCCGAAACCCCCCTTGTCTCGACGCTTCGGCTCGATCTTGCGCACGAGTTGTTAGAAGAGAACGAAAGGACGAGGTGCAGGGCGGACGCTAACTTCGGGTCTAGGGCTTTGGGCTTTAAGGTAAGGAGAGAGTTGTCCGAACCAACATTCTGGGTGCAGGCTCAAGATTTTGGGAAACCTCGGATTCTGTTTTCCCACGCCCCGACCTCGTGTTCGCCAAGACGGGGAGTCTCGATTTGGGATTTGGGTTTAGAGTCGGGCATGATGTTTTTGCAACCCTGTAAACCAGAAGGCCACACTGTATGTTGTTTCTTTTCATGGGCGATAGTAGGCTCCTCTTGAAAGGGCTTCATGGGGCTTTGGATTTTACAGAGGTTCGTAGGTGTCTCCGTTAATGGATTTTGTAGTGGTGTTCTTGGAGCTTCAGTGCGGCTTTTCAGCGAAAGGACCTCAATACACTCCCTACACCCTGAACCCCTAAACCCGAAAATCCCTAAACCCTGAACCAAGCCTGCCCGCAACCAAGAACTCCCCCACACTCGAAACCCCAGAACCTGAATCCTACACTACATGCCCTAACACCGTAAACTCCACCTCTTAACCCCCAAACACTTTCAACCCCTAAAATGAAACTTACAACCCTATCAAAAGAACACAAAGACCTTATAACCCCCCATTAACAGCCCCAAACCCTTAAACTCTACAACCCTTGACGCCAAAACCCTCACGCCCTAGACCCCTTCAACACTGGACTGGGGTTTAAGTTTACTAAAACCCTCAACCCCAAAATCCTAACCGAGACCCCCAGAACGATCCAAAAAGTAGATCCCTTAATGGTGGTTTCTAAAAAATACCCTTAGTAGTATAGGGCCCCAAATTAAGGGATCTACCTTCTAGATCCTCCGGGGGTCTGGGAAGCTGGAAAGCCCCCAACCCACCCAAAATCCTAAGCTGGAAAGCCCCAAACCTTACATTTGGTTAGTAGGGAATGGAGGACTCGGCTACAATTGCTACCATTCCTCCATTCCCTACTAACCAAAGGTAAGATATAGGATAATAAGGCCACCCTTATAGATCCCTTATAGAAACCCACGGCAGGCGCACCCGGAGGTCGCACAAGCGGAGAGCACGGCCGCGAGACCCACCGCTGCGTTGCCGCCGCTGGGCGAGGATGCCTCTTTGCGCGTAGGGTTTTCATTTAGGGTTTAGGGTTTAGGGGTTTAGGGGTACTTAGTTGCTGAGTTCATGAGCCCCAAAAAGTGTACGCTTTCAGTTCTATCGTGGGTAATATAATCCCAAAAGTGTAAAGTGTATCCACTCAGCTACTAAGGTTACTGTTAAGGCTGTTACAGGCTTTATTGGGTTTTGAAACAGTTTGACCAGGGTCTTAAGCGAAACCTTATGAACCGGTATAATATAGGGGCCTTAATGATTAAAGTAGGGTCTTGTGGCCCATTATACTATAAGTATGATAAGGAACCCCAAGACAGTATTGGTAATCATTTAGGCCCCTAGCCTATACTATAGAACCCTACTACAGATCCCTCAAAGGCCCCTTTTAAGGAACCTATAGTATACTTATGACCCTCCGTCCCCAACAAGCAAAGAGCCTGAGAGGTTACAGGGGCCTTCGTCTCACCCCGAGGCAGCTGGATCAGGGCCACTCCGGCAAAGAGGATGAAGAGGGCACCTTTGCTCCAGGGAGCCTAGGGCTTGGAGCTTTGGGGTTTTTAGGGCTTGGGGTTTAGGTTTTAGGGCTTACGGTTTGGGGTTTAGTTTTGGGTTGAGGGTTTAGGGTGTTAGGGCTTGGGGTGTAGGGTTATCGGGATTTTGGGGCTTTCGGGTTATCGGTTGAGGTCGAGTTTGGAGTTTGGGGTTTAGGGCTTTGGGGATGAAGGCTTCGGGGTGCACGGAAAGTACACCGATGCTTGCAAATGGGTGGCTGTCAAAAATATGGTCCCTAATTGGGTTTGGTTACCCTAACTAGTAGGTGTCGTATTATAATGGGGACTCACAAAGGGTGCCATAATTTTGACATCCACCCAAATGTATGTCGGGATGTCTTGTTAAGGATGCACACAGCAGCTTGTCTAGCAATGAAGACCTTACTTCATATGATATGAACTAATAGAGAAGCCAGAATGAACCCCTATTTTACTCATCCGGTTCCTGCTTAGAAGCGTTCTAGAATATACTCCAAAACCTACTCTAGTTATTAGAGCTCCCATAATGAACCCCATGCTCTTGCTCTGATCTTATACAGTCTCACCCCTAAAGGCATCCAGAAAAAGGGATTTCGTCGCCTACGACGCCAAGCCCTCGACAGCATGAAATCCAGCAAACTCCAAACCACTGTAGGCATGAGCGAAACCTAAACCTTAAACCGCAATGAACACTGAACCCTAATCCCTAAACCCTTCACCCCTAAGCCCTGAACCCTAAACCCTCAACCATAGCTACGCCCTAGACCTTGTTGTCTCCGGAGTTCGAAGTCTTGCTGCCGGGATGCACCACTTCTCCAGCCCCAGTGACTGATCCGTGGAAACTCTTGCGTTTTGGTGTTATGTTAAAGTATACTATTACAGCATACCAAGGTCTACTATGGTATATGCTCCTGTACGTTATAGTATATTATGGTAACGGTATAGTATATTCTGGTCTGTTATAGCATGTCAATGTATAGCATATTATGGTATTTCTTGAGTGGGGGTGCCGAATGGAGTTCTTAGAGAGCCCCATACGCCAGACAATGCAAAAAAAACGAGAGACTATATGGGTGGTTGTCAAAACTATGATCCCCTTTCGGGTCCCTATTATAATACGGCACCTATTATTTAGGGTACCCAAAAAGGGACCCTAATTTTGACAACTACCCATATGCCTTCGAGATGTAGATTTTAAGAGGCTCGAAATATGCTTCCCAGCATCCCTGCTAGGCTTGAGGCAGAACCATCCCAGGCGGTGGTAAACAGTTATAGCAAGGCTTGCGAGTACGGTACAAGAAAGGTGGGTCACAAGAGGTAAACGATGCCGATGCTAACGATAGTAAGGGATCCAACACTAGGTTTTCAAGCTGGGCTTGACGTTCCGGGGTCGTGGGATTTGGCGGTCGTCGTATAGCTCTTGTTTGGGTGTGGGGTTTAGGCTTATGGTCCAAAGTTTCTGCGGCGATGAATGTCCTATCGCCAGAAAGTGGCTACCACCCAAAGGGTTAAAGGCTGGGCAGTTCTGGGTAGATCTGGGGTGACTCGGTTGCTTGCGTAGATTTCAAGCTTTCAGGAGCCACGGTGAAGGAAGCAAAGAAAATGGATGCCCCTTACACCCAGTAGAACCCATGAACTCTAAACCCTAAACCCTAGACAGATGCCCCGCCCAGAACCCACGAACTCTAAACCCGGAAGCGCTTGGCCTTGAGTTTTAAGACGCACCGATCCCCCAAGCAGTTTTAAATTTTCGAAAGGTCAGGTATCTCATCTCAAGACTCCAGCCTACCCACTCCGCCGGTCAAAATACACCAACCAGGAGCTTCTATGAGGGTTCCGTAAAGGGGTCTATAAGGGTACTATGAGGGTTTAGGGTTTAGGGTTTGAGGGGTTGCATATCTGATACTGTACTGTAGATTTCGTGTTTAGTAGTACCAGACAGTCTGTGTGATCGTATGGCCCCTCAGATTGAACCCCAAGAATCATGAAACAGGACAAGCACTCGCAAAGCGGCTCGCAAACACTCAGTGAGCAATTACGCTCTGTAAAGCTCGATAAACAAGGCGGTTTAGGACATCGGGTCTCTCCTACACATCGCGTCCTTGCCCAGGATGATGACGCTGAGCACCGCGGTGGTCAAGATCTTCAGCTGGTAGGTCACTTGGTACCTGAGCTATGTGGAGCCGCTGGCATGTCGGGCAAAAGGCTTTTGAATGTGAGGTTAACTACTAAACCCTAGACCCGAAACCCCAAACCCTAAACCCTACTACGGCTGATTCTGATATAAATCCTGCATTACCTTAAGGACCCTAAACTATGGGAATTATGGTATATTCCTTATTATGGGTAATGCAGGATTTATATCAGCAACCCTACTACCACTGCAAGAAGCTCTTGGGGAAGACCCAAAACCCCCAGACCGGGGGAGTCGGCAGCTCGGAAAACCGCTAAGCCCCCTTGAGCTAAGCCCAAAATTGCACATCCTAAGAGCCGGTTTGGGGTTAGGCGCTTGAGAGTTGTTTTTTGTTGTTTTTATCGCCCCTTTTCGCCTGCAGATACGGTTTCCATACCGATTTGGCTGGGTGGGGGCGGCATTTGCAAGTTGACTCAACCGGGTTTAAGGTTTAGGAAGTGAAACCCAAGCCCTAAATCCCTAAGACTCTGGAATTAATTCTGAAACACGAAGCACTTGGAGGCCTGAAGCCAGGCAACACCTGCTGCTAGGAGGCACTGCACCGCTGAGGTTGGAGAGGCTAATGAAGAGCAAGTTGTTCTGGACCTTTCAGCACAAACAACCTTCCATGACTGTGTAGCAACATGGAATAAAAAACAAAACGATCTATAGTTACATATATCATGATATATCAGTATATCATGCTACGGAACAATACACAAAGATTTATGCAAATATCTGGAGTGTTTATCGGGTTTGAGACAATGGTTGAACTACAGTCTGGCGAGGTTATGTAATATTATGACCACGCTGAGGGACACTATGGAGAAATATGAATAAGGTCCCTATAAATCGCTTGGAAACGAAGATCCTCATGCAATACCCTTATAACATCCCCAAACACCTGCAAAACCCGCATGATGAACCCTCAACACCCCTTAAACCCTAAACCCTAAGGCTCTCAAAAAACTCTAAGCCACCCTTTTCCCGTTTGCGTACACCGAGGCGTAGGCCGTGTACAGCAGCGAGGGCACGCTGACCTTGAGGAGTTCAATGCCACTCCTGCAGGAGAGTTTTTGGTTTGGGGTTTAGAGTAATGTAAGATTAGGGGGGTCGAGGGATTAAGGTTTGGGGTATAGCTTTAGGGTGTTGTAAGGTTTGGCGTTTAAGTTTCGGGGTACCAGGTTTAGGGTTTCAAAGTTTCTTTGGGCTTGTTAAGGTTCAGGCTTGTACCCGGAAACGCCACTTTCCCTCAACTCCGTTTCCCTTATCCGGTTTGGGGAATAGCCTTTTTGATTAGGAAAGGGTGGCGGGGGGCAGTGTTTGGGCTTTGAGTTTAGAACTTAAAGTCCACTGAACCCTAAACCCTAAGGCTCAACGTCTAGAGTTTAATTTGGGGGGTTAAACGGCCTTGAACCCCGAGAACCTCGTGGACCTGCAAAAGCCAACTTCATATGGGAGTTTCCGAAAATAAGGGACCCTAATATAGTACCCTAAATAGTAAGATCCTTATTATAAGGACCCTAAAATAAGATACCCCTAGTTTTCGGAAAGTCCCATGTAGTGACCTGAGCTTCAGTCAGCGAGCTGGTTGCCGGGGCTTGGGCAGCACACTGAAACAAAAATAGATTTGTGTGTCTGGGCATGTATGTACTTAGGTACATATGCGTATATCGATATAGAACGGAACCCTAAAAAGCAGCACTACTCATTATCTAGGCCCGAAGCAAACTAGGCAGGTAGGTAGATGTAGACAGAAAAACGATCAGATAACAGATGGCTTGGTCGATATGTCGATCGCAAGCTGCTCTACGATGGTGGCCTGGGAGCCAGGCTTTGTCAGAGTTTCAGCTGCTTTCACTTTTGTCCGTTGTTGAAACTTGGAGAATTGCGACGCTCAAGGCTGCCCAGATTGTTCGGAGAAAGGTTCGGCTTCTGCAAGATCCGGAGGTAGGGGGCGGGGGGCAACTTTGTGGCTCTCTCTGGGGAGAGTGTTCCAGCTCTCCACTCTGTGATAGCTACCGGCCTAGGTTCGAGACATGCGTCAGAATTCGGTACTGTCGATTCGCGGGCCTACGGCCCGCAGCTCAAGCGATCTTAAGGGTTCTGAAGTGTGAGCAAAACGGGATTTAAAGGGGCTTTTGGCGTGCGGCACTTCGAAGTAGCTGCGAGGCACTTCGCAGCTCGAGCTAGCGGCTCGCGAGCAGCCTGCAAGGCTGTATGCTAAGCAGCCTGCGAGCTGCCGACGAGCAGCCTACAAGCTGCCGACAAGAGGCCTACGAGCTGCCGACAAGCGGCCTACGAGCAGCCTACGAGCGGCCTGCGAGCAGCCGACAAGCAGCCTACAGGCTGTATCCCGAGCACCCTGCGAGCAGCCTACGAGCAGCCTACGAACACCCTACGAGCAGCCTGCGAGGCTGCCGGCCTCTCAGCAGCTCGCGAGCCCTCCGCACGCCCTTCGGCTGCTTGCGAAGCAACGCGCCTCGAAAGTATTCTGGATCTCTTGAATTTCTCCGAATCTCTGAAAACATTCGAATTCACAACTCAAGGTGGCCGATCTTTTTGAGGCGTGAAGAAGGATCCGCTACACTATCTGAACACCTTCAAGAAGTCCCGCAAGTTGAAACACAACAACAGCCGTTCGCACGGAAGACAGCTCATCCAGGATTTCTGTAACATTGTAGTACCAACTGGTTTGCTCTTGTCACGATGGACAAGTCATCGTCGTCGTCGTCGTCGTCGTTGTTGTTGTTGTTGTTGTCATTGCTGTCATTGTTGTCATTGTTGTCATTGTTGTTGCTATTGCTATTGCGACTGCTATTGCTATTGCTATTGCTGTTGCTGTTGCTGTTAATGTTGCTGTTGCTGTTGCTGTTGCTGTTGCTGTTGCTGTTGCTGTTGCTGTTGCTGTTGCTGTTGCTGTTGCTGTTGCTGTTGCTGTTGCTGTTGCTGTTGCTTGCTGTTGCTGTTGCTGTTGCTGTTGCTGTTGCCTGTTGCCGTTGCCGTTGCTGTTGCTGTTGCTGTTGCTGTTGCTGTTGCGGTTGCCGTTGCCGTTGCCGTTGCGGTTGCTGTTGCTGTTGCTGTTGCTGTTGCTGTGCTGTTGCTGTGTGTGCTGTTGCTGTGCTGTTGCTGTTGCTGTTGTTGTGTTGGTGTGTGTTGTGTTGGTGTTGGTGTTGGTGTTGGTGTTGGTGTTGTTGTGTTGTTGTGTGTTGGTGTTGGTGTTGGTGTGTGGTGTTGGTGTTGGTGTTGGTGTTGGTGTTGGTGTTGGTGTTGGTGTTGGTGTTGGTGTTGGTGTTGGTGTTGGTGTTGGTGTTGGTGTTGGTGTTGGTGTTGGTGTTGGTGTTGGTGTTGGTGTTGGTGTTGGTGTTGGTGTTGGTGTTGGTGTTGGTGTTGGTGTTGGTGTTGGTGTTGGTGCGGTGGTGTTGTTGTTGTGGTTGTTGTTGTGGTTGTGGTTGTGGTTGTGGTTGTGGTTGTGGTTGTGGTTGTGGTTGTGGTTGTGGTTGTGGTTGTGGTTGTGGTTGTGCTGTGGCTGTGGCTGTGGCTGTGGCTGTGGCTGTGGCTGTGGCTGTGGCTGTGGCTGTGGCTGTGGCTGTGGCTGTGGCTGTGGCTGTGGCTGTGGCTGTGGCTGTGGCTGTGGCTGTGGTTGTGGCTGTGGCTGTGGCTGTGGCTGTGGCTGTGGCTGTGGCTGTGGCTGTGGCTGTGGCTGTGGTTGGTTGTGGTTGTGGTTGTGGTTGTTGTTGTTGTTGTTGTTGTTGTTGTTGTTGTTGTTGTTGTTGTTGTTGTTGTTGGTGTTGCTGTTGCTGTTGCTGTTGTTGTTGTTGCTGTGTGATTTGCCTTGGTAGTGGTAGTAGTTATGGGATGTCATGCCATGAGCATTTGGCTTGGCTCATTCGAGCCGCTGGCACTTGCGGGGCGGGAAGTCCACCTTTGCAATTCAGACAGCGCGCGTACTCAGCGGAGCAACGCAGTGCTGGATCCGGCGCAAGCATGAACCACAAAGCCGGAAAAGTGCTCAAACCCGACGGCGCAAACAGGTTGACTAATCCCTGCCCTGCCGAATTTTTGGCAAACATGGCAGGGAATGTGGGTGCCCGGAACGGCGGCAGTCCGGTCCCCAATTCATACAAAGTGGCACCTGCCGCCCATACATCCACGGGCTGGCCACGAAAGCGATTTGAGCTTGCACTCTCCCCTGCCCGAGATGGCAGCGCTTCGGGCGCCAGGTTTGTTATTGACCCAACAACATCGCAGTGCCAATCGCCCGGGTGGTTCCATGAAGCTGAGCCAAAGTCCGCCAGGCGGACGGTCAACCCTGGCCCCGTCAGCAAGATGTTGTCCGGTTTGATGTCTCTGTGAATCACCAGAACTCTGTGCACATGAGCAACGGCAGACCTCAGAAACATTGACACAAGGCTCACCACCACAGCCCAAAGAAGACATGAACATGAAATGACATGGGCAATGCCGCACTGTGCACGATCTTATCCAAGGCACAAGAGCTGCTCCGCTGCTTTCGGGCGGAACTTAATGCACTGCATGCGTCGTGTGCTCTGGATGAACTTGGCAAGCGTGCCCTGAGTACAAAGCTCCATCCGTAACTCGGAAGTGGTGTGCCTAAGCCAAGCCAGGCGATTGGGCAAGCAGTTCCAGCACGGATGCAAACTCCTCATATGGGCCAAAGGTGCCCGTAGTCGCTGCGACAGCACTCTAGGAAGGCTGCCTCGTGTTTCAGCTGGCCGCCCCGGTGCGCCGTTTTGACCTCAGTCTTGATTCTAAGCTGCCCCGATGTTGGAACAGCCTGACAAAATAGAAGGAACTTCAAGCAACAAACATTCCAAAACAGCTGGAAAACTGCAGCACCTCCGATTTTGTGGACTGTGCCATAGTTGCCAGCCCCCAGAAGAACCGGGCGCTGCCTTTCCTCGGGCTGCTCAAGATCCGTCCAAATGGTCGAAATACGAAGTAACCATACTGCCCAAGTAAGAACAACACGCCGAGAAACCCAGAATTTACCTCTGCAACAAGGTTTGATAGAACAGAAACACCTATCCGAGTTCGAAGGCCTGTCCAAAACCCATTTGCGATCCCGGCATCATGGGCAACCATGGTGGCCAGCTGCTTTGGTTGCACCAATGAATGCGCACCGTTTGCCCTGTGTACATCCCGCACCTGTCCGTCACAAGCATCAAAGCACAGAACATCATAAAAAACATTCCAAGTACTCAGAGCAGCAGGGGCTTTGCAGAACTTGCTACAAGCTTCTTGCGCTGAGGACACCTGAAAGCATCAGCCAATGCAAATCAAGTCATGGTTGCTGAGCAAGGTCCTCTGCCAAAAACTCCGCACAGCTGGCGGGAGCTGATCGGGCCTGGCAGGCGGCTCAATTCTGAATCGTTTGAGCATGCTCAACCTTTGCCTCGATGTGTTTCAACGCGATCTTGTCTCATGTGTGTGTGTGTGCATACCGTGTACACGTATTAAATAGTATACATTCTGATATTTATAGTTCACACACACAAATCTTCCGAACCAGCTCGAAGTCATAGCAACACATAGACCCAAGGGTGCAACAATTTTGTCACATCTTTAGTCTCCATAGTGTCCGAAAACATGATTGAGATGAAAGCAGCACCCTGGTTCTGTTTGCTTGTCTTTGCTTTCGTGAGGCTCTCGACACCGCCCCAACAACTCGACAATGGTAAAGTCGAATGGACATCCCAGTGTGCGATGTGCAAACGCATGGTCTGCAAAGCCTTTGCCAAGCTTTTGTTGCGGTTTCCAGTACTTCTTGATATCCGTGTGGAGCGGACATCCCTAGCTTGACAGCTCAGTTGCCTGCATCGAATCAACGTTGTCTTCGCCGAAGACCTCGCCGGACAAAGGTTTGTGGAGAGAAGGATACTCTCCCAGGGGGGATTTATGACGATTGAGGGATCCATGTCATTTTGTGAGTGGCGAAGCTGAGGCTCCAGCATATTTCCACACACAAATTACCGCAGCAGCAGGCGTGGCCAAGCCAGCTGCCTGAGCAGTTCCGAGCACAATACAAACTTCTTACAGGACAAAGCAACCCAAAGGAGTTGTTAAATAAGGTTTTGTCCGATGAAGTGCACACATGGCGCTAAAGAGGCCACAGCGTTTGCACCAGTCGTCACAGCTGCGGTGACAGTCGCTGTAGCACCCGATGCAGCACTCATAACAGCTGCACCGGCCGCTGCACTAGCTATGCCCGTCGACCCGGCCACCGTCGCCTCAGGCTCTAGGAGTAAAATCCATATTAGCGGCTTGCACATTTCCAAGACGCATTGTCTGAGGCAGCTGCTCCGGCTGCTAGTCCATCAGAGACGCCGCCGGCCAAGGCACACTCCATGGCAAGTGATCGGTGGAGATCTGGGCTTTGCCGACTGTCGCGGCCATGCACTGGCCCAAACTACTGAACATCAAACCGTTGAAAAGCTGTTAGCAAACTCGCTACGAGTATCCTTCACATGAAACGGCGTCAAAATTACTTGTGGATGCAGCTTTTGGTTTTGAATTAGCGCGTCCCCTATCGATCCTCGAGGTTTTTGCCTCGCGCACCTGCAAGGACCATACGACTAAGTAGACTTGTTAAGCTATATGAGATGTACTGGGAGTTACTGCGTTTCCTCTTGTGACGAGTTCCAGGAGAGAAGAGAGGAGAAGTAGTAGTAGTAGTAGTAGTAGTAGTAGTAGTAGTAGTAGTAGTAGTAGTAGTAGTGGCAGTAGTAGTGGTAGTAGTGGAGGTTGTAGTAGTCGTCGTAGTACTAGTACTAGTACTAGTACTAGTAGTAGTAGTAGTAGTAGTAGTAGCAGTAGTAGTCGTAGTAGTAGTAGTAGTAGTAGTGGTAGTACTTGTAGTAGTAGTAGTAGTAGTAGTAGTAGTACTAGTAGTAGTAGTAGTAGTAGTAGTAGTAGTAGTAGTAGTAGTAGTAGTACTAGTAGTAGTAGTAGTAGTAGTAGTAGTAGTAGTAGTAGTAGTACTAGTAGTAGCAGTGGTAGTAGTAGTAGTGGTAGTAGTGGTAGTAGTAATAGTCGTAGTAGTAGTTGCAGTGGCAGCAGCAGTAGCAGTAGCAGTAGCAGGAGCAGCAGGGCGTCTTCCCCATGACATGGCCAGACCCTCGCACGCAAGCATACTTTCAAGTGCGACAAGTACCTAAATGAGCCATGGGGTTGTTTAGCACGTTCTTGACGCGTTTGGGGTATCGACCGGTCATCAATCTGGTTATCGATCCATATCTGACATGAAACCTGAAAACGTGCAGAACGTATGAAGAACAAGCTTTCAGCGCACAGGTTTACAGCCCTTTCCGAAACAATCCGCACACAAGTTTAAGCTTCGAATCGATGGACGTTCCGTGCACGCATCTGAAAGCTTCCGTGTCGGTCGCTTTGCCGTAGGCACAGACTGTGAGGCAATACTTTGCATGCTTTTTCCGCTTCGAGGGGTAGCTCAAATCCGAGTACGGCGCATGCTTCTGCTAGCCTATCTTATCATGGGTTATCGTTTTAGCGCGTCCCCTATCGATCCTCGGGGTTTTGGCACAACAACTACCCTCTACACTAAAATACATAAACGATAATCTTGACCATAACTCACATGAAGGACTTCTTCTGGCCTTGCCTGTATCTGTGAAAAACCCACAAGCTTGGAACATGTTTACAGCTTGAGGTTGGAAGCCCTGCCATGCTCATTACTTGGAGGGGCAGGGGACTTAGTAAGTAGGTTATAAGTAGCGTTATAATTAATTGGGGTAACTCCATTTAGGGTACTTATAACTCTGCTTATAACCTACTTACAAAGTCCCCTGCCCCTCCAAGTAGGTCAACAAGTCGACAGATCGATAGACTCCTTGTGAAAGTCTTCGCAACCGTCCGCGCCGCCGACGTGACGTTGCCCTGCTCGTGGCTGAGGAAGACGAAGCTGCAAAGGAGTTTCAGAACCTCCGGTTGCTAAGCCAAGGTCTTTGAGGCTTCGGGGTTCAGGGATTAAGGTTCAGGGTTTAGGGCCTAAGGTTTAAGTTGGAGGGTTTCGAGTTGGTTTTGAGACTTGGGTGTTTTGATGGGGGGTTTGAGGTCTTTTGGGTTGCAGGCCTGTGGTCCCCATTAAGGGTCCCTTCTTTTCCCCTTTGATTTCAGGAAACCCAGCGGCTCCGAAGTCAAACGGATTAGGGATTCAGGGTTTGGGGGACTCCGACGCAGACTTCGTGGAGGGTTCAGGGGTTTACTACTAAGTAAGTAGGTTATAACTGGGGCTATAAGTCCCCTAAGTGGGGTTATCCTACTTATAACCTTACTTTCTAAGTCCCATGAGCCTTCAAGTATGGGTTTAGATGGGGGCCCCTGGAGTTCGGGAGATTTCGAAACTTATTTCGACACTTACTGTGGCTGTAGAACTCGGGAACTCTTTGCGGACGTCGGAGTCTCTAGGAACTCTTTGGAGGACCGAAATGCCCTTGACGACCGCGGGAAGAAGCAGGGTCGGCGAAAAGAGCTTGCAACACGAAGAACCGTGACAAGACACCAAGATAAGACAGCACTTCTCCTGGCCCGCAACATCATTACAGTCGTCGTCGTTGTCATCGTCCGTCGTCGCAATGAAAAGCCTGAACCCTGGAAATGTGTCTCGAATCCGAAGCAGCATGGAGCCTCGGAGAAGAACACGGCCGTGGTGTTGAGATACCGCGGCCCTGCCCAAGGCGTCCGTTTCAGGAGATGTGGGTGCCCCTTATTGGGGAGGGGTCCTAATTATTGTCAAGATCCTACTTTAACAGGCAGCGTCATAAACACAGAAACCATACTCACATCTACCTGGAATCTACCTGCAGCCTCTCTTCTTCAACAATCGGGCCCAAAAAAAGCTCAAACTTTCTGCGATAGAGTTAATATACAAGGCCATATAGTTTAAAGTTCCCCAGATCGCTATCTATAAGTAACAGTAACCCAATCCAGGCGCCCCAGTACTTATACCTGTAGCCGGAAAGACCTACCTTTTCAGGGTTCCTTATTATGGTTTCTATTTATAGCTCCTTAAAAAGGTAGGTCTTTTCGGCTACAGGTAGTCCCACTTGAGCGGTCCCCAGGACCTGAAAGTACTGCGACTCCCCGACGTTTGGGTACCACTCCGAGGCTCGGGGGGGGACTTTGCAAGTACGGTTTAGAAGTATCCTTCATAGCCAAAACCGTTAGAGAAACCTTCAAAGCAGCCCGTAGCACCCGCCATTCAAGTAGTGTAGAATGGGGGATTTGATTCCTGACTCCTGGCGGGGGGGGGTGCAAAAATGCGAAGATGTGGGAAAACGGTGGGAAAACGGTAGCTATAGACCTTGAGCCCGGCGAGCCTAACGGATTAATTAGGGTTTAGGGTTTGAAGGGTTTAGGGTTTAGGTTTAGGGTTTAGGGTTTAGGTTTAGGGTTTAGGGTTTAATTTGGGTTTAGGGATCAGTAGGGTTTAGGGTTTAGGGGGTGTTCTACAGAGTTGCACAAGCCCAGCGAAAGAGGCCTAAGATTTCTCAGTGCCTTCTGGCATCAGGTAGAGGCTCGGGTGTCAACGCAGCTACGAAGGTCCTTCAGCCGCATCCCACACACCATGTAGGATTGCTGCTTAACGTCGGCTGTTAATTTTTTGCTGCTTCTCAGGGAGTATATAATAACCAAAAATTAACCCATTATTTCTAAGTAACCCTAAGACGACATTATAGTCACTATTACAGGGTGGGGGGCCCTTCTAAGGTTTAGGACTACTCTGAATCCGACAGACCTCCTCCCCGTGCATCAAAACCCTATGAAGCCGGGGTCTCCTAGGGGGGGGTTGAAGGTACTTGGAGGATCATGGGACTTAGTGAGGGTTCTTCAATGGCTCCTTAAAGGGGTCTATAGGGTCTTTTTAAGGGATCTATAGGGTTAAGGGTCCACTTTGAGGATCATAGGACTTAGTAAGCAAGGTTATAAGTACCCTAATTGGGGTTATAAGTATAGTTACCCTAGTTATAACCCTAGTTACTAAGTCCCATGATCCTTTAAGTAATGTAGGAACCTGATTAAGAAACCTTGGGCGTTTATTAGGGTTCCTTTCAAAGGGGTCTATAAGGGGTCTATAAGGGTAATATAAGAAGGTAGGAACCTGATTAAGAGCCTTGGGCCTTTATTAGGGTTCCTTTAAAGGGGTCTATAAGGTTTACTATAAGGGATCTATAAGGGTACTATAAGAAGGTAGGAACCTGATTAAGAACCTTGGGCCTTTATTAGGCTTCCTTATATGAATCCTACTACTGTGGGGTTATAGGGCCAGGGTTTTCTTAATCAGGTTCCTACATTTTATGGCCCCAGGCTCTAAACCCTCAAGGATTCCAAACCCGAAACCGAGAGGGCTTTGGTGCATCCTAAGCTTTTGCGATGAGACACCAAGGCTTGAAACACTTGCAGCACCTCTCGGATTGAGAAACCCTGGTCCTATAAAGAACACTAGGATCCACAGTATAAAGAACTCTGATAACTACAGACGCAAGGTCTCGAGGTCAGGTGCCTACGTTACGAATCTCGAACCCAAACCTGCGAAGGCCTTCGGTGGCCCGTGTTCTGGACAGCCGCATGGCGAAGACAACGCTGACCTAGTTCATGGTTGGGATAGTATTCAGTACTTACATTAAGAAATGTATTCCTTTTCAAACCATAGCAGGATCCCTATATTCCTTATTGGGTTTAAGTACCCATAAAAATGCAAAATGTTATCCAACTATGAGAAAGTGACGGTCTGCGCCACCAGCATCAGCAGCGACACCCACTTCCTTGGCAGATCGGGTTCCGGGCTCTGTATGACCCTGTCATAGAACCCTAGTGGAACCTTACAGTCAGCTTAAAAGGCCCGGTTCGGTCGTAGAGCTTAGGGTTGGGGGTTTAGGCGGTTCATGGCTGTCTAGGCTTTGCGGCTGCCCTCTTCAAACGAACTTCCTCTGGGCCTTAGTAGACCTTGCAGGAATTTGCGGGGGCCGTAGTACACTGGTTTACAAGCAAGCTCAGAGATAGTTACACAATTACTCCCTACACTGCTAGCCAGCCAAGAAGCTACTGGATCCGCAGAAGGATGACGGCAAGTAGGCTTTGGACGTTTGCAATCGACAGCGTCACGCGCAAGGGATAAACTCGGTCTGATACCTAAAGCCTGCACTGCACAGCCATCAAGCAAGCCTCACAAGACTTCCAGTCACTAAGTCGCGCGGGCAGAATTGAGAAATCTGCCAGAGCCACTGAATCACTTGTTCCTGCGGCACAAAATCCAAACCTGCCCCAAGGTTTTGTGTCTCCGCAACCCCAAACTGCAACCGGAGCAGCATGGGTATGCCACATAGCCTGAGTGACGGGACGGTTGGGAAAGACTACGCCTGACCAAAGCAAGATGCAGGCCACTCTTGTATGGGTCATTCTCTAAGTCCTGAAAATACCACCTCTCGATCATGTCAAAAAGCCTTGAAACGAAAAGGACTCGGATCTAGAGGCAGCCCCATACACAAAATCCGGAACTCGAAATCCCTAGACCCTAAGCCCTTTTCAAACCCTAAACCCTAGCAAACTGGCTGGATGGGAGTCTCCGGAACACGGAAACCGAGAAAGATGGGGCCTGAACAAGCGGTAATGGCTTGCCTTATTGTGCCTCTACAACGAAACTCTAATCTACACAGAAACTACATGTTTAGTGAGTTTAGTGTTTTGGATTGCTTCATGCTCCGGGGAGGTGAGGACGAAGCTTCAGAATAAGAACCATCATGTGTATGAGGGCCCTAATCACAAGACCAACTCAACCCCACCTGCCCCACCCCCACCAACAAGACATCAATAGTCAAGAACAGAAGCAAGGAAGGAAGGAAGAAAGAGAGAGGGAGAGAGAATGCATGTGTATGTATATAGATAGATAGCTAGATAGATAGATAGTTAGGCAGACAGATAGATAGAGAGAGAGATAGAAAGGCAGACAGGCAGACAGGTAGATAGATAGATCGATGCATCGGTAGATCGATAGCTGGATACATCGATAGACCGATAGATCGATGGATCGATAGATCGATCGATAGACAGATAGATTTAGATAGAGAGAAAGGTATAGGTTAATAGATAGATAGGTAGAAAGATGGGTAGGAAGATGAATAGACGGACAGACACGCAGATAGCTGGAGAGAAACACTGACGTGAATGTATCTAAGCATCCGTCAGCGAGGTCCAGGGTTTTTCCATACCCTAAACCCTAAAACGAACCTGCATCCTAGATATGAAACCCTACACCCCAACTCGCAAAAGCCCTAGAACCCCAAGGACTTTAGGGTTTAGAATAGAACTTGATACGTAAGAGACCCTGATTGGAAGTGGGAAGCGAAGGCTCGGACAAACTTTCGCCAAAGGGCTGGGGCTGACTGCCGTCTTGAGTTCCCATGGCGGTGGGCCGCCGGAGCGAGGATCTAAAACCCCAAATCAAAGGGAAAACGAGTGACCTTTTAGTGGGGACCCCTACCCTATAATGGGCTACAATGCTGTGTATATAATAGCTATATGAAGAGTATATACCTAGGTGTCCTAAACTCCTAAACCCTAAATCCTAAACCCTAAACCCTAAATCCTAAATCCTAAACCCTAAACCCTAAATCCTAAACCCTAAACCCTTAACCCTTGCCCTAAACCCTAAACCCTAAACCCTAAACCCCAAACCCCAAAGCCTAAACCCCGACTCAGGCTTCGGGGCAGCAAGATAATTCGGTTCTGGGATGAAGCAGGCGGGGAGAGAAGATGTGTTTCAGGTCTTATGGGGTGAGAATCGGCGAGCTACTTGGAGGATCATGGGACTTAGTAAGTAGGTTATAAGTAGAGGTATAAGTACCCTAAATGGAGTTACTCCAATTATAACCCTACTTATAACCTACTTACTAAGTCCCCTGCCCCTCCAAGTACCTGGGAAGCTACAAGGTTTGGGAGTTAAGGTGCGGGGTCTCGGATGCAGCTGTCAAACTTCTCGGGTTTAGCTTGGAAGGTCCTTCGAGCTGTTTAGGGTGTCGTCTGAATTGCAGGTAAACTCTGAACCTTGAGTCCTGAACGCTTTGAAGCTTTGGCTGTTGCTTGGCACTTTGGCACGCGACGACGGAGTCTTTCGTGGGAGTTTACTGGGTTCTGACTCAGGAAATTAGCTTCAATGGCTTTCAAGGCCTAGGATTTGCGGCTTCAAGTTTTGAGGGCTCAGGGTCTAGGGCCTAGGGCTTAGAGTTTAAGGCTTACGGTGCAGGGCTTAGTGTTCAGCGGTTTGGCCTGTTTTAGCAGGGCCTGGGGTTTCGGCTAAGGGGGTGGGGTTCAAAAGAACAAGGTGCAAAGCGCGTGCAATCTCCGAACAAATCTAAATGTCGGCTTTCTTACAACACTTTACCAGGCTCCTGCAAGGGTTCTACTATGGAGGTCTTTTAAAAAAGGTGCCTACAATGGTTCGATGAGCGTTCTTGGTTGAATGCATCCTATCGACGACCAACCAGAACCGCCGCCAAACCAGAAACAACCAAACCGCTAAGCATGCCAACCCCTGAACCAAAAAAACAAAATCCCAGTGACCCAAGCACCCAAAGCACAAAGCCCCTGAAATCCTAACACCTGAAATCCGACACAACCCCACACCCCCGATCCCTAAACCCAAGACCCTGAAGCCGAAACAACGAGGGTTAGACACCGACAAAAACATCCAAACTTTTCTCTGCCAGATATGCCATTGTTACTGCCACTCGTGCTACTATTATTACTAGTACTATTCTTACTATTACTACTGTTACGACTATCATTATTACTGTCGCTATTGCTACGCTACTACTACTAAGAGCGTAGTGCATAATTGACGCTATGCATTTCCTTACTTCACATGCCCAAAACTCGAGTTTTAAGCACATTTCACAAATTTCTGGGGGGCGTTGAATTCTGAAAACCTTGACTTAGGAATTCTATCTTTGGGATTTGGGTTTCAGCTTGAGAGCGGGGATGTCTTTGTGCTTTGGGTTTGATGAGACCTTGGATTTCGTATGAGGGCCCTGGTGTTCGTATCAGGTCTATGGATTTCGTATGAGGGCCTTGCTTTCCTATGGGGGACTTGCTTTTCCTATGAGGGCCTTGCTTTTCCCAGGAGGGCTTTGCTTTTCCTATGAGGGCCTTGGAATACATTTTCAGTACTTATTTTTGGCTCGGCTTGGCTTGGGGGGTGGGGGTTGGGAGGGTTGGGGGGGGGGGGCGGGGAACTTGAACATCATCAACATCATTCCTATGAGCCTTGCTTTTCCTATGACGGCCTTGCTTTTCCTATGAGGGCCTTGGAATAAATTTTCAGTTCTCATTTTTTGGCTTGGCTTGGCTTGGCTTGGGGGGGGCTGGGGGTTGGGGGGTTCGGGGTTGGGGGGTTTGGGGGGGGTGGGCGGGGAACTGAGGGCCTTGGAATAAATTTTCAATACTTATTTTTGGCTTGGCTTGGCTTGACGCTCGTAGTCAGTGGGTCGAGACATGAATTTCAACCGACAGTACGACTACATGAGTTCTAGGATCTCTGCTGGCGTGCATCTGCTTCCACGGAAAGCGCTCCAGTGCAACACGTTGAAGTACCGATGACATTTTCGGCAAGACATGTTGCTGTCTGGCTGACCTGTTCTGCACTTGGCTGGGGCGCATGCAATGTGGGCACTTCGTGGGCTTATTCACAGCCCCGTACTCCAACAGCTTCTGTCAGGCCGCCTCGGACTTCTCAAAACATCTGCGCTGCTCCAAACCGGCTTCCGGCTTCACCAGGGCCACCCTCCGCTCTGGGGTGCCAGCGTACGCTGCACGGGCACAGGAGCGGTGGAACCCATCCTTCCGTTCAGCTCGTGGCTTCAGTGCATCCGCCAGCTTGCTTCGCAACTGCGGGATCAACTGAGCTGCCGCTGTGCCACACGTCTCCACGCGATGCCCCGTGTTGCCACATGCAACACACCGGTGAGGACTCTGCTTGCCCTTGATGCGCCCACAGACGAGTTTGCGAGCCATGGCTCAGAACTACGCTCCTCGTGTGGGCTCCCCTGTAAAGCTTCCTGTTCTTGCATAGTTCAAGTAACTGCTGACAACACACATGATCCGACACTGCTGAGTCAACTGCTGACAACTATCCTGATCCAAAATTCAACGCCCCCCTGACTGAGACAAGCCATGTCCTGCATACATCGGAAAACACAGTGTTTTATGCGGGCGACGTGCAGGACAACGCAGCGTCAAATATGCACTACGCGCGTACTACTACTACCACTACTACTACGACTGCTGCTGCTACTACTACTACTCCTGCTGCTACTACTCCTACTACTTCTACTTCTACTACTACCATCATTATTCATATATGGCCCTCCGAGGTTTCGACCTGGGGGATAGCCCTGATCGCTGCCTGAAGAGGCTGCTGAAGCGTCTTCATTCCAAGGTTCGGAAGCTTTTAGATTGGAGGTTTGCTAGGGTTTAGGAGTTTTTAGGTTTTAGGTTTCAGGTTCAGGGGTACATTGGGTCAGATTGGAGGTGTTGCTGGGTTTAAAGCTTTTAGATTGGAGTTCTGCTAGGATTTAAGGTTTGTAGACTCAGGGTTTAGGGGTGTATTGGGTCTTGGGCTTGGGCGATTCGGGCTTCAGGCGTTGTGCCTGTAGAAGGCTCGGTAGCTACGTCGAAACACCCGAACCCGGAACGCCCAACCCTAATTTTTGGCCAGGACCCACCAAGTTACAGGGCTTCCGGGGCTCTTTGGGCTGTCTAGGAGGTTAGGGTGCTGCTTGCAGCCTCAAAGCTAGAGGTGTAGTCTCCTCTATTGTACCCTTATAGTACCCTTTAAAGTAACCCCTATAGTACCCTAGGGATACTTGCTGGTAACAGTTAAATGCCCACCAGAGCGACTTTACGGCCGTCTCTCTGCATCTTCGCGGCTACAGACCATGCGCAGGGTCACAAGGTTGTGCTTCTTGTGAGGACCCCAAAATACAAGGTACCCCTAATTTTCGGAAACTCCCATTTAAGGGTAGCATCCGGGTTTCGAGGTGGGTTTCGCGTATTGCATGGTTTGAAAAGAGGGTTTAGTACTTCGAAAACTGCTGGAGAAATTGCATTTGAGAAGCTTTTGCAGAGACCTGGCCGGAGAGTTTGTGCTTATACTGAGGTTAGCAACCGAAGCCCTTTGACCCTAAACCCCAAACCAGGGAATGTGGGGCAAGGGGTAAGCCCACGCAGCAAGACAGCACATTTGCGCTGAAACACTGAGCCTCAGGATTGAGGTTCAGAGTGGGTTTGGGGTTTAGGGGTGCGATACTTGCGCAACTTCACAGAAGCACATATACCAACTAAAACCTGAAGCTTGGGCGGAACTTGAGTATAGGCTCCCACAACCGGGAATCATAAAGGGACCTAAGAATACTAAAGCAAACCCCTGAAAGCAAGCGGGTTCTGGGTTTCGTGCTTTGCAGTGAGCGCCCTTGATCCGAAGCTACCCACACCGAAACTCCTCAATCTGGGAGTCTTCGAAGATTAGGGGATACCTTACTGTGGGGTCCTTATAATAAGGATACTACTATTTAGGGTGCTATAGTAGGGTCCCCTATGCTCGGAAACTCCCATCTGGACCCCTAGAAACCGAAACCCTCAACCCAGAACCCTGAGCCCTTCAGCAGAATGCTTTTTGCTGAGGCCACAACTGGCCCAGGTGCCGCATTGTACACCTCGTGAGGTCGCTCCATGAGCGGTCGCGACGAATTTAAATTTTTGGTGGTTTAAAGATAGTTTAAGAATTTAGATTAAAAGCTTGTGGAGATTAAGAGTTTAGGCTTCAGGGCGTTAAGGGCATCATTTAGCAGCTGAAGGGCCTGATGAGGGAAAACCAAACAAGAGTCAGGTGGACGTGGCCTTGTCGCTATTCTACGAAATACCAGGTTCGCGCAGTAGCGCCCCATTTTTCCTATTCGATATTGGGTTTCATAAGGGAACCCAATAAGAAAAAGGGCGGGATTCAGGATCCCTTATATCAGGACCCATGAGTGGGATTACCCCACCTGCCTTCATCCTACCTTTAAAGAGGCCACTGATACTGGGGGGACCTTGAAGCCCTAAGCCCCGCTTTTAAAGAGAAGAGGTCGAGGCTTGAAGAAGGTTTTCGCTTCGCTGGCCCAGCAGAAGAAGTCCCCCCCCCTTTTCTCAAGATCGCTAGCCCGGAGTGTGATAAGGTCCAAAGGCTTAAGCTCCAAGGTTTAAGGTCTAAGGCTTAGGGTCTGGATTTAGGGCTAGGCGGTTAGGGCCTTTTTTTTTTTTGGCGGTTAGGGTCTAGGGTTCAGGGCTCAAGGTATCCGAAGAACCTATGTATGATTCTCCGCAATGTCGATCCAATCTGCAGGACTTTCAAACCTCGCTGCCTGGATC